GGAGTAATTTGTTTGAGCATTTAATGATTTCTTTTAACGCGAAATAAAAAAATTGACGTTTCGAAGATCTTTGTAGGTTTTGTGATGCGAGAAAGACGAACGCGCCGCAAATATGTACGCATACATCGGACTAAAATGCATAGCATGAATCGGCACGTACAAATAGTGTCTAACCAATGCAATTAGCTCAATTAGTTCACCGCGCTCGCGCTCCGTTTTGTTCAATTCGTGCACTGCATCGCGATTCGAAATTGTTCGATTCGAGTGTAACTTTCGAATACGATTCGTATACATATATTTTATTTTGTGACGAGTGATGAGCAACGCACGACAAAATGCAAAACATGCTTGAAGGTTTTATGCTAATACTTGCCACAGACGATCACGTTCACAAATGTAAGTCTTTGTATTATTAAGCTATGCAGAAAGAGATAAGTATAAAAAAATATTTTGCAACATAAAGTGAAACAAACAATTAATCAACCGAGCGTAGGTATATTTCTTTTGTTGCCACATCTTTTTCTATAAAAAGCTTAATGTTGACAAACGATAAATCGCGTTGTAGAAAGCACTCTATTAAGTAAATTTATCTAAATAAATACGAATCTTGTGATTGTTTCAGAATATATTTACCTAAATGAACTTTTCATTATAAGACACATTCAGTAGACTGATCAGAATCATCTCGTATGATCGTCTGACGCGAGTCAGCTATACAAGGCATCCCAGACCTTTCACCTTTGAATTCTCTTTAACTAATTTGGAATTTGGAATTGACGTTTCTTTAGCAACAATATCGAGGAAGGTCATCGCGCGCGTATGAACCGTACATTACAAGATTAAATATCTCTTTAATTAAATCCGCACATTTTGTAAATCTGTCAAAATAGAAACTGTTCAAATGCATAATAATAAAGAGAACAGAATTTTTATCATTTATGACATAAAAGTCATTGATTACGATCTTTCAATCCTAAATTATAGATAATAAAATCAACTTGAAATTTGTCAGTAGATGGGATAAGTAGATGGGCCGGGTACCTTCATACATTTGTACGAAGATTATTATTAATTATTACGGACTTAGTCGCAATCGATTGATCGCCGATTATGATGTAACTATATATATATATATGATGCACGAGCTTCGCAATTCATTGTAGCATGTGAGCGTTGAAAAAAGATCTCCTTGTATATCGAGTTAACACGCGTCGTTTTCCCGTTGCTTTATGTACTGGCCGTTCTACAATGCAACATAGTACATATCTGTGAGAAACGACTGGAGCATATCGCTAATATAACGTACATAATAAGAACGTACTAAATACTTGGTAGTCAGTTTCTTTCGCAAAAACAAATGTATGCGACATTTTTCTTTTTGTGTGTTTTCTGATAAATAATTATAATCTGGCTGTAATTTATCTGTACATTTTGGAACTTCAAGATGCAACAATTAAAGTTATTTCAAAGATCCATCACTCTCAGCAAATTCGATTGTGCAAAGAAGATTTAATCTAATCTCTCACTGTTGACAAGAAGCATTTCGCTAATACAAGCAAACGTCCTCGCGTGTAGTTTAATCAGAACACATGATGTGACGCGGAATCGAACGCTGATTTCGATAAAATACTGCAAAAAGAAGTATCTACCTGTATCTACCTCGAAACTGAATAGCTAAAATAAATAGATAACAAAATGCTGGTATATATCCGCTGTATATTGGCGAACGTGAGATAATTTTTCATGTGCTGATAAGTTTATATCAAGTTGGCAATAAATTGTTGTTTAGATTGTAATAACGAAATGGAATTGAGGATTACGATCCGCACGTTCCGTTTAATTACCAGCTGTGTATAATTGATACACGATGTCTATAAGTTAAATTTGGCCGATGACTCATATCGCGCCGTGCAACTGAACTCGCATGGACGACAATGCAACTGATATCATTTTCATCGGTTCACTATAGAAGAGTCGTCGACGTAGTGTTGGAGTTAAAAAACACATATAGATTCGGTGATAAATATTCGTAATGAATTTATCTTTTGAGTGTGTGTGTTTTTACTGATTTTTACGATACTTAGAAGTTTATTTTAATACATAATTTTTATAATATATAGAATGTAAAATGTAAAAAATATATGTGATATATATATTCGAATGAAGTAATATTACAATATCGTTGTTCGCAAGAATAATTTGAGAGAAGAGTTTTATACGGAAAATAGATGCAAGACTATTAAATTCAACAATGTGTTATATATGAGTGTGCAATGCATATATGGGTGCAAGGTCCAAGTGGCTAAGGAAAGTCGAAAGGACTAAGAAAACTTGGAAAGTTTTTATTAAAAGTGAAAAAAGAGTGATAATCACGCCTTGTGAGTGAAAACGCAGCGATTTTCTGGCTCCGATCCAGAAGCGTGGCCGTTCTATTTCACCAACGATATTTTTAGATCTTGGGAAATTTCACGGGGAATTATGTCATAACGATCGCTCTTTTCTCAAGAACATTATACAGTTATCATGTGTTTCCGGAGAAATTTTTCTTTCGTTACAATAGAAAAATTATTAACAGTCTTTATAATAAAAAAAAAGAAGCTACCCAGTGAGAAATAATAATGGAATGGACATCGATGTCAATTCGACGTCGATTTAATGATTTCGACGTCGAATTGATATCGATTCGATGTCCATTCCATTGTCATTTCTCACTGGGTACGTTCTGTATCTCATTTATGACAACTCGCGAAACGAGTTTGCGGAGTTTGCAAAGTTGACGATAAAGGTAAAGACATGATCGGAATACTTTCTCGAGGAAAAATCGATTTACTTATAGTTTCTACGAAACTGCCATACTACGAAATCGACATGTTTCTCGTATTATTTGTATCTTAGACATGCATTGATATCGCATACACGTTGTACTATTAAAGTACATCTTTTTACTTGCAACATAGATAGTGTTATCTCTGAACAACAGACCTAAAGATTTTATTTTCATCAAAAGTTTTCCAACTATAAGTTGCAATAGAAGAAAATATATATAATGCAGACAATGCAGATGGAGAAGCAGAGCTATTAACATTTCTTTATCGCTGATGTATACGACACTGACATTGATATGCATTTCATGCTAAACCACCATTAAGACAACTATATCGATTGGTGTGACTTTTGTTACAGATTTCTAAAAAGCTGTAAAATTTATTATCATCACGTCGTTGCAATTATTGATCTAAATAACGTAGTGCAATGTATACAACTGTCAATTCTTAAACCTCAGAGAGAAGCTTCATTAATGATCGAATCGCGAGCTGTTCAAAAATAGAATCTCATATATATTTTGTAATCTCAATACAGGTCGTTGCGATCGAGAAAATATTCGGAAATAATAACAAGAAAGAAGGAAGCACAAAGCAAAGCCTATCGGTCAAAGCTAGATCAAGATGCTTATTATCATTATGTGTGAATTTATATATCGCGTATGTATGTTCTCTCAATTTGTGCTTCCTTCTTTCTTGTTATTGTTTAACAATTGTACGGTCGTAAAAATAAGATTCTATTATTTATTCGGAAATATTGTTCTCTCAATCTGGATTCCATCGCGTGAGCAAATATTCATGGAGTACACAGGTCATTAATAATTTTATTACGAACAAGACGGGCCAATCGATCGACTTTTGTGATGCATTATTTCATGTAAAGAACTAAAGAAATAAAACTAAGGGAACGTATGTGGATTCGCTTAAAAATTTGTCGAGTTTGTCATGGTATTAAGTGTATCTCATTGGTAATTTTTAGGTATGACGATAACATGACTTGCAACGATTATTATACGTCGTCGCATTTCTATCGCAAGTCGCGAGTCATTTGTACCATGTTATCGCAAAAACGTGAATTTATGCCAATATTAAGCCCATGCAGAGGCGTGCGGATATATTCGATTCTCCGAGACAACTTTAAATATCATTGGGGGAGGGGAGAGGTATTTTATATCTATTCTGAAAACTCATTACTATGTATACTTGTTGTACTTTTGTAAGTGCGCGCAAATTTTATTTTGCACGGCGACTACTATATCTATAAAACACAACGATTTATCGTGTGAAAAAGCGGCGTCAAGCAAAACGGTAGAAATTTGCACTTCGATATACGCGCTACTCGCGCGTTACCTATACAAGAGATCAGTCTAAGTCATCGTATATACTTACGTAAGTGTGCGTGTCAGAGACTACCCGAATTCTCGCAAAACGCGATTTAGCAAAGCATGAAACTGCACTTTCACGTAACTGATCACGATTGAATGAGAGACACAGGAGAAATCAAAGTTCACAACGTGCGAAACTGTGAATGAACGAATAACATAAATAATCTAAATCCTACTACTACTAGTCACGCCGGCCACGAGCCAACTGCAGTAAGTGCGGCAGTCTATGGATAATGTGAGCAATGTGGCTGCGATGCGATCGCGACCACGTTCGGCCGCTACCGTGAGTCTTCGATTATTTTCGCATACACGTGAATTTCGCGCCGCGTTCAGTGCTGAGATCAGATTGGTCGATTGTATGTTCGGCGCGGAAAATTTGAATCAAAAATTATCGCGTTTAGATTCTTACCCCTATGAGACTAAATTAAACGTTTACGTTAATTCTTTGCTGGCTAACATTTTCTCATGTTATCTTTATAACAAATAAATGTAATAAATGAGTCTTTTAAAAATTGTCAATCGGTAAAAACTTTGATGAGCAAATTATGAAAACTTTGCATTATATAAGTGAAATTATTTTAATTATAAATTTATGGAGAATTTTAGATTTCTGGGTAAATTTTTCGATAAATAAAAAATAAATGAGTATAGTTAAAATATGTGAAATGTGCTTTCTACCAAACGTTAATCGTTTGATAAATCGCAATGTTACCGATGCTGACTAATGCTGACTGAATGCAAGCTCGTGCATTTGCTAGGCGCAGGATGTATGTTTATCGCATAGGTAGGCGTTAGTGGAACTGGCTTGGAAAGTTGCACAAGAAAAGACAGCTTGTAAGTAAAAGTGCACACAATTTTACATTGAGAGACTTCAAAGCATTTGCAAATTAAATCTAATAATTTTTCGTCCGATAAAAAATATTGTTCAAATTTACTTAATTTCAAATTATATTTGGGTCTGGGAAAAAGTTCTTTTACATATATAAGAGGACCCTTCCCCAATCCACCATTTATTGCGAAATTTTTTCGTTGCAATTACATCAATCGATGGAGCAAAGTTTCAGCTTTAAGAATTTGTTTTTTTAAATTGCAGTCTGATGATTTTTAATGGAGTTATGAGCAATTAAAATCAGAATGCTCTTTTACTTAACTCGCAAATAACTCAGGAACAAAAAATCGTAGGAACATAAAAAAAAAAACGATTTTGTAGGGAAAGCTTTAAGCTTTCACGATAGATAGTCGAAAATTTCCGCAATTTTTTTGTATGGGCACGTAAAAGATTCACAAAGTGAAAAAATTCTATCTTTATTAAGTCGTAATTTGTTACCTATATGTTACCAAACTCATAAAATACAGTAATCATTCAAAAGTAGAGATTTCAAGCTTAAAAACCATTTAAAAACCATTTTTTTAAATTTAAATTTCGTTCATTTTTAACAAAAATATTGTAAAATAAAGGTACTTTTACATATATATATATATATATGTAAAAAGACTTTCCCTCAACCCAACATGTCTAACAATAAGTTTCAACATAATTTTGAAATTTTATTTAAAAATACTTTCTTTGTCAAGTAAATATAGCGTTGAATAAAAAAATTTGCGATAACGCGAACTTATATATGTGATCACGATTCTATTTTATCTGTATGATATAAATACGCATTTTCATATGTCGTATCAATATAGTATATAGAAATACAGAATTGCAGAAGTTACATCTAGAATTTAATCTTTTTTCTTCATATTCTCTTCATGTCACGGTTATCACGGTATTACAAAATAAGGCAGTGATTTCAATAAAAACGATATCTGCATACCGAATGTATTTCGATCGATGACAATGTCGATCGTGACAGTATAAGTAATGTATGACATATTCTTCCACGGATGGAAACGCATCACTGAATAATATTTTGCAAATTTGTAATTAACAGCACGCATGTGTTTCTCAGTTACCTCTTTTAACATTTTTAACTTGATAATGCTCAATTCATTTGTAAGGAATCTATTGTCAGATGCAAACGATTTATCTCATATACTATGTATATCTCGATTACATCGCCAAACTGATAAGATAACACTTTATCATGCAACTTTATTTAGTTTGTTCGTAATATTCGCGATAGACAAATTATCTAAACTTGTTATAATTGATAAAATCTGAGAAAAAAATGTGAGAAAAATATAAATTTTTTTACATATAGATATAATATTAACGAGTTTCAAAAAATTCACAAAATAAATTCATAAATATCGTTGCATGCGTCTTGAGATAGATCTTGGTGAATCTTTTAAAATCATTAGAGACTACTCTCTCTCTCTCTCTCTCTCTCTCTTTATTATCCTATAATTCAAGCATTGTATACGAGCATAATGGAGCTGTCTTTCAAGAGCAATGAAACTCGCTATTGAAAATAATTATGAGATGATCTCGATGATACAAAAAGTTTACCGCAAAGGATCTTTTATCTTTTCATCTTTCATCAGATCTCACCTTTGATGATTGACCTAGTAAAATGGAATTGTTAATAAATAAAAAACCAAGAAAATTATATTACATTTTTAATAAATATTACTCTAATTTTTATCACAATAAAGTATTTTAAATTCCTACATAAAATTAATGTATTAATCAATAAAAGTAAATTGTCATTCAGTATGTTAAAAAATAATATTATTAAGAATAAATTTTTCTTTTCTTATCAAGAAATAATTAATAGAAATATGATTAATTGTTTATCACACGTGTATATATTTTTCGTCAGTCGAATTACGAAGTGACTCGCAATACTTTAATAAAGCTCTCTAGATAATCTACATTTTTCCTGATTCAAGTATATGCGATAGATCATGAATGACGTGAATGAATCGTGATCGTGGTACGCGACCATAGATATCACGATGCTTTATGAAAAGTGTGACAATGAAATTGTTAACTCTAAAAGTGATTTGTTTGAATGAAGAATGTTTATCGTATTTATTGTTAAGTATTAGGAAGAGGCCGTAACGTATAAATTTATAAAAAGTACTTATAGGGATACACACATTATGAAAACCGCGCAAAAACGCATTACACTATAATTCTTATATAACAATGGTCAGAAACTGAGACCCTTCTCTCGATGTACGAATACGTTACTCCGTCGACGTGTATATATACATACGGTAAATGGCTCGGTAACTATGCAAATTTAAGTACAGGAAGACCCATCCGTTTGTTAAACGCGATGAAGGCCTTGCCACGTTAATTCACCTGATTTTTTTCGATTTTAGTGTCGCGTATAAATGAGAACGTTAAGAAAATTAGTCGAACGTGCTCTGCGTGGCTCGTGCAAAACTTCATTCTTTCAATGACTCGAAGTAAGTTGTCAAAAAAATTAAAATGTCAAAATAAATTTTAAAGTATATAATTTTCTTTTCAAGTTTTTATCATAATCATTTTACAATTATAGTCACATATATATGATATAAGAAAACAAGTGTAAAATATATTGCACACAATAATTGTAGTGTGTAGTTATATATATATGTATATGTGTGCATAGAGAAACAGCCAATCAAATTTAAATCCAGATATGTTACGAAATAATATGAAAAATAATATATTAGGTCCACAAAATAAATGTTTTATATTTGAGAATGTGTTGTAAAAGAAGTTGATAGAAATATTAAAAATACAAGAAATTAACGATAATATATGTTTTTGGATAAGGAGATCAAGAAGACATAATGATACGTAAGCAGGAAGAAAATCAAATGGAAGAAACATCGGCAGAAAACAACATACAAGTGATTAAGAAAGTAAAAGAGATTAAAAAAGACGAAGAAATCGATAAAAACATTGCGACGTTTTTGGGTGAGAAAGACTTGAATGAAAATCTTAACCTGCAGACATTGATTAACATCGGTCTTACGGATGAGCGTGTCAGGTTAGCTGCTGCCGATATTTTAGATTTAAATGTTTTTTATATTCAGAATTAAAGTTTATAATTAAAATGTTGTAAAATAAATTTAAACTGCGAGACCTATTCTATATAATTACCAAATAAATTTTATTGTTGTACGTAATAATATATTAATAAAATATAAAATATTAAAAATAAGAATGTATAAAATATTAAATAATATATGTAGATATATAGTAACGGAAATTGATAGCATGATTTTCTTTCCTATTTTCTTTTACTAATCCTTTATATATTTTTTGTACTTTCTCAGATTTTTGAAAACTGTAAATTTAAATAAGAATTACATCGACAACTTGCAAGATCTATGGCAAGCAAAGATCAAAGTCAATAAAAGCAATGATTCTATTATTAATAATTCTACATCTGACAGTTTATCATCTAGTGGTCACGCACAATTGTCATCGAATAGCATCTATCTAAAAAGAGTCTTAAGCAAACCTTTGATCCAAGCTCTTCGTGAAATTATAGCAAAGAAGCCGGTCGATCCTATAGAGTATCTAGGCCACTGGCTACTCAATTATAAAGTCAGTTAAGTTTAGAATACAAAAATGTTTCGTTACAATATTAAATGCTCGCAAAAAAGCTACAAGGTTACATGGAATTCATTAATAAGTAGATAAGAATATTTTAATATTGTATTAAGAATATTTAATAGAGAGATAATATAAGTATAAGATAAAAATATTCTCATATAGAGTATTTTTTTTATACACGAGAGTCATAATTTTATTTTAGATTTGTGAGGAACGAGCTATACAACAAAAAGAACGCCAGTTAGAGATTTCAATCAATGAGGAAAAATTGAAATTGAAAGTACAAGCAACATCTCATAAATTTTATCAATATTGTTAAATTATATTTAATTTTTATCTTAAAAAATGTAAAAAATATTTCTTTTGTATAACAGCAATTTAAAGATAAAGACGCTGTTTTTATGGAGCGAAAGGATGAAGAAGAACATAATGAGGATTGGAATTATTTTGATTATGACAAATTATAAATTACTTATTACAAATATTTATAAGTATAGTTCAATAAAGAAAACGAAAATAAAAAAATATATGTAATTTTAAAAATATATACACGAAATATTCATATATAATAAGAACAATTATTATAAAAAGTACAATTTATATTATGTTATAACGAAAACGTAATTTTAAAAATATGATATGTATATGTACTTATTTTGTTTAATAAAAATTGAAAAAAGAGGGTTATTTGATACTATAAATATAACACACACACACACACGCGCGCGCGCACGCACGCGTGTATAATTATTGAATTAATAAACAAATTTACTTACCGATGTTTAAATTTCTGTTATCTCTGGTTTGCTTCATCATGTCAGAAACATATAAAATGATTGAAGAACGCAATTATTGTTAACGCGTGTGATTATCCCAATATGACAAAGTTCTAAAATTAATAAATTTTGCGTTTTATAGTCTTTTTGTTAGAATTATATATGTGTATGTGTGCATGGATATACATCACATGCACTAGACTTTATACGATTACAAATAACAGTATAATTAAATTTTGAAAGCTATATAATGATTCAAATTCGTTATATTTGAAAAATATTTAACAGAGAGCGTAAAAAATTATGACTAAAAATTTTCTTTATAATCATGTCGCGCTATCTAGTGGGATTTTTTTGCATCACTTTAAATTGTACGATGGAGCGATTGCCGATTATATATAGTTACGTATAATAGGGAATTTTTTTCCCTATATAAGGACAATTTATATTTGCCAACCTGTTTTCACATTCGATACAGGTCGTGTCTCTTAAAAAATTATATTTATCGGATTTAAAAAATTATTTATCAATAATGTGTTCGACATCTCAAGTTAATCGTCTCCATATCGAATGAATCATATAGATATATATACCGCAACTAGAAATCCTAACTTCAGACACGAAGACATATGTGATGTTAAATGTAACGCAAGGTTATTAACCTTCGAAAAGCAAGTTTGACGTTACAGTGTTGATGTTGGCGTTCAGTTTAACGCGTGACATCATAATCGTATGATTAATTTTTGTCTATATATTCTTTTATATTTCCTTATACGCACAAGTGAAGTATTGGGTGAATGATATTCTGAAAACTTACTCTAATTTGTTACGTAAGTGTATTTTATATTCAGTTGTGCGTAAATTTTACCCCAAATATTCTATACACACATTGCCTCCTCCTTTTCCCCTCATACATATACAATTATCTGTTACGTTATTACTAAGTGCAAAGTATAAACTAAAAACTATAAAAATTTACTCCAAGAACAATCTGTTATGTAGCTTTATATATATATATATATATATATACACGTAAATTATTACTTTTGTATCATTTTCTTTATTCAGTGATTTTAAGATGATTGCATCAGAAGTTGGCTCGACAAACACAGAACCTGTCCATATCAGGATTACAAGTGAAAAAGCTCCTTTAATCAATGGCAGAAATATGCTTCAACGGCTAAGCAATATTTTTAAGATTGGAAGGACGTCACACTCTGATGGTGATGGCTATGTCGAATTTGGTAATCTTGGTATGGACAACACTCGTACATTGGGAACTTTTGCTGGTGTATTCAGCCCAGTTACGTTATCTATGTTCAGTGCCTTAGTTTTTATACGAATGGGTAAGTTGTTTTTACTTACAAAAATTTCATATATCTAAAATATAAATATTTGCTAATTATACTAACTAGTAATTTTTACAGGATACATTGTGGGTAATGCAGGATTATTTGTAACATTAATTCAGTTCATCATAGCATATGGTATTTTATTATTCACAGTTGCATCTGTCTGTGCTATATCAACCAATGGTGCTGTAGAAGGTGGTGGTGCTTACTGTATCCTTTTTTCTATTTTCTAAGCAATAGTATGCCAGCTGCGTATTACTGCCATCAAATAAACTCTATTCATTCTACAGCTTTATTTATCTGATAGAGATAGACTGTGCCAGTGCATCATTTCAAGATAGCTTATCAACTGCGATTGGCTTATATTATTGGCTTCATTTTGCTTGTATATTTAATATAATATATAAGCTATTGAGATAATTGAGAAATTTGTCTTTCTGAACATTATAAAGTACTGTTTTAATTGAAACAATTAAGATATTAGGTTTAATAAAATGTAAAAAAAGAAATTTCCTATTAATCTATATGCAGTTATGATCAGTCGTACATTAGGACCTGAATTTGGCGGCTCTATTGGTACTCTCTTTTTCTTGGCTAATATAGTGTCCAGTGCACTTTGCATTTCTGGATGTGCTGAGGGTTTGGTTGAGAATTTTGGTCCATCTGGTTATTTGAGCGGCAAAACTGGACTCATACCAGATGGTCGATGGTGGCGATTTTTATATTGTTCTATACTAAATACTGCCAATCTTGTAGTTTGTCTCATTGGAGCTGCAATGTTTGCAAAAACCAGTGTTGCAATTTTGGCAGTTGTCTGTATCTGTCTAGCTAGTGTTATTATTAGTTTTTTGACTCAGGGTGCAATAGAGGTAAATAATAGCATGTTCTAAATATAAAAAATATTTTATTTATATATTTACCATTTTATTTGACCAAGTTTTGTGATCAAAAAATATTTATTGTACTTTTAGATACCAATACCAGATGCAAATACATTGGTACAAAATGTAACAGAGCATGTAAATGGAAGTTACACAGGTCTTTTGTCTTCTACACTTTCAAACAATCTCTATTCGAATTATAGTGCTGACTACTCAAGCGGAGGAATAATGACGGATTTCGCAAGCGTCTTTGGTGTATTGTTTAGTGGTGTGACTGGGATAATGGCTGGAGCAAATATGAGTGGTAAATAAAATTAATTATTTTTTTGATATTTTATGTAAGACCAAATATTGAATTTAATTGAAAATTAATAGGAGAGTTGAAAAATCCTGGTCGGAACATTCCACATGGGACGTTATCTGCGGTATTATTTACATTTATATGTTACATTTTGCTGTCAGTACTGACGGCTGCTACCACTAGCCGTTTTTTATTGCAAAACAATTTTATGTACATGATGCCAATTAATATGTGGCCGCCATTTGTCGCCGTTGGCATTCTTACAGCAACATTTAGCGCTGGTTTAAGCAATTTGATAGGTTCTAGCAGAGTATTGGAAGCATTAGCCAAAGACAATGTATTCGGTATGTAATTAATGTGACAATAAAAATTTAATTTATTTTAATTATGTAATTAAATATCTCTATTTTATTTGTTTTCTAGGTTCGGGATTAAATTTTATCATACAAGGTACATGGCGTGGCAATCCAATAGCAGCGGTATTAACTTCATGGATTTTGGTTCAAACAATCTTGCTTATCGGCTCATTGAATACTATTGCTCAAATTAACTCGGTACTATTTCTATTAAGTTATCTGGCTACTAATCTTGCATGTCTTGGATTGGAACTTGCTAGTGCACCAAACTTCAGGTATTCAAACAATAATTTAATTATTTTAATTATAATTTTGTGTGCGTGCATGTAATATTATATATCGCTTATATTATAAGTGAATCTTTCTTTCAGACCAACATTTAATTATTTTACATGGCATACGGCGACTATAGGTCTTCTTGGAACACTGATAATGATGTTCGTAATTAATAGCATTTATGCTTCCAGTAGCATAATTTTATGCTTAATATTGATTATTGTACTACATTTATTCTCACCGAGTAAAAACGCACCATGGGGCAGTATATCTCAAGCATTGATATTCCATCAAGTCAGAAAATACTTACTAATGTTGGATTCACGTAAGGATCATGTTAAATTTTGGCGTCCACAAATGTTACTGATGGTTGCGTGTCCGCGTTCTGCTTGTCCACTTATCGATTTTGTGAATGACTTGAAGAAAGGAGGACTTTATGTTATTGGACACGTAAAAGTTGGTAAATTTAACGGTCAAAATAGCGATCCTACTATAGAGGAATATCCGCACTGGTTGAGTTTAGTTGATCATATGAGAGTTAAAGCTTTCATTGAATTGACCGTAACAAAAACGGTGCGCGAAGGCATGCAACATTTAATAAGATTGTCTGGCATGGGTGCAATGAAACCAAATACGATCATTCTCGGTTTTTATGATGAAGAAACGCCGAAGAACTTTTTCTTGGATTCTCAGTATGCAACGACAATGTTTGAAAATAGTACAACGCTTCCAAATAATACTATATTCCCTCTGAGACAAGCAACAGGGGAAAAGAGTCTAGATCCGGTTCAATATGTCGGTATGTGCTCGGATGTTTTAAAAATGAAGAAGAATTTATGTCTGTGTAGAAACTTTCATCTGTTAAATAAAGCACAGTTGACGAAGTGAGTAGAAATTTATTATTGTGAAAGTATATTTATAACATCTATTATTATAAAGTAATATATATATATTTGCTTTTAGAAACTCAAATTTGAAATATATTGATGTATGGCCCGTCAACTTTTTCCAACCGACTGATCAAGATCCATTCGATACAACGTCATTATTCATGCTTCAACTCGCATGTATCATCAATATGGTACCCAGTTGGAAAAACTTACATCTCAGAGTATTCCATTGTGAAACTGGGGATGGCAATGAAAGCCTAAGTATTTCAGATTCTCCCAATTCGATGAACGAATATCCGAGAATCTCGAATGAGCACAGGATTCGAAAGTCATTGAATTTGCTGAGAATTTCTGCATCGATTAAAAAAATTCCGGAATGGGGAGAGCAAATTCGAGGTTTGAAGGGCAGGCCTCTGCTTGAGCCAAAAAATCAATATGAATCAAGTACAGAGTCTAATAATACTTTGAGTAATGTGTCTCGAGCTTATATACTGGGGTGAGATTATAACCGATTCTTTAGCTACAATTTTTTACAAAGGAAAAAATGTTTATTAATTTTATTTCTTAGGGTCAATCAACTTATACGGCAATATTCTTCTCAAACTGCAACAACATTCATTTATCTG